GACTCAGGGCAGTGAACAGGCACAAAATAAAACACATAAATACAAAAGTTAAAAAACATAATTAAAACCAAATTAAATAATTTTGCCCGAGACAATTAAAATTCCCAATAATTTAAAACAAATTAAAATTTCAATTTAAAAATTTAAAAGAAGGGGAGAAAATTAGGCCAGGCTGGCCTGCTGGAATAGGAGTGTCTTCAAAGCATGGCGGAAGGTGCGCAGATCCGGGATCCTTCGTATTTCCGGGGGGAGCTCGTTCCAGATAGTAGGTGCCCCCACAGAGAAGGCCCTCCCCTTAGGGGTCACCAGTCGACATTGTTTAGCTGACGGCACCTGGAGGAGCCCCTCTCTATGAGAGCGTACCGGCCGGTGGGAGGCTGTTTGTGGTAGTAGGTGGTCCCGTAGGTAGCCAGGTCCTAAGCCATGGAGCACTCTAAAGGTGGTAACCAAAACCTTGAAGCGCACCCGGAAGACCACCAGGAGCCAGTGCAGCTCGCGCAGGAGAGGTGTCACACAGGAGCACCATGTTGCTCCCATAACCACCCGCGCGGCCACACTCTGCGCCAGTTGGAGCCTCCGGGTGCTCCTCAAGGGGAGCCCCATGTAGAGAGCATTACAATAGTCCAGGCGGGAGGTGACGAGGGCATGAGTGACTGTGTGTAGGGAGTCCCGATCCAGAAAGGGACACAACTGGCGAATCAGGCGAACCTGATGAAAGATCCTCCCGGTCACAGCCATCAAGTGCTCTTCTAAAGACAGCCATGAATCCAGGAGGACGCCCAAGTTGCGAGCCCTCTCCGTGGGGGCCAGCGATTTGCCCCCAATAGTCAGCGATGGCGTCAACTGACTATATCGGGACATCAGAAATCACAGCCACTCAGTCTTGGATGGGTTGAGCCTGAGCCTGTTCCTCCCCATCCAGATCCACACGGCCTCCAGACACCGAGACATCACTTCAAGGGCATCGTTGGGGTGGTCCGGGGTGGAGATGTACAGCTGGGTGTCATAAGCGTACTGGTGGTACTTCACCCCAAAACCACGGATGATCTCGCCCAACGGCTTTACATAAATGTTGAACAAAAGGGGTGAGAGGACCGACCCTTGTGGCACCCCACTTATGAGGGGCCTCAGGGTCGACCTCTGCACCCCTGCCAACACAGACTGCAACCGGCCAGAGAGAAAGGAGGAGAACCACCATAGTACAGTGCCTCCCACCCCAATATCTTCCAACCGGTGCAGCATGATACCATACCAATTAGAAGTTAAAGATGCTTCAGGTCTTTATCTTTGCATGAGAAGCACTGAGTTCCTTGTATATAAGTATCTCTGTCAAGCACAATTTGATTAAAACTAAGGGTAGGAACTAAAGCTTGTATCACAAATGACAAATTGTCATTCTTCATTTCCATATTCTTTGGCTGAGTACATTCCAATTTAAGAGCTGCGTCTCTGCACTTAAAACCATATATTGTTATATTCTGTCTTCATGTTACTCTTTCTCCTTCCTTTCTCAGTATTCTGATTAACCCAAGAGATTCATTGTATATAAAGTGAAATGTTATTATTAATGGGACTGAAACAAGCCAGGATATTAAAACAACTTCAAACTATGGTTTGAGATCCTTATTTATTCTGAAACTGGTCATCATTTCCTACTTCTGGCATAATAAGAAATTGAGCCTGATCGAATTCTTCTTTGAATTGATTGCAGAGTATTGATGAAATTATGGATGATGGAATGGTGGAGTGGAAAGGCCCAAGGCTAAAATGCATTTTTGTTTATTAAGCCTACATTCACTGAACCAGGTCAAGGCCTTATCGCAAACAGGATGGGGAAAGTGGTGAAGGGTTCTTAATTGAGTTTTGTTTGTTTAGCCATTTAAAAGTTATACAAAGGTTCTGTTTGGCCTCACTACTCTATTCTTCTATTCCCCACTAACTGCATGAGCAAAACAGTGTGCTATCATTCTCTTTGACTGACCTATCCATTTGCTGTCAGTTTTGGGTGAAGGGAACCTGTGAAGTGTTCCCCAAATTTCTGCAATCCTAAATGTTCCATTACTACTGCTCTACTTCACCTCTACCTTGCAAACTGGATATGATTTGTATAACTTAAAATGCAGGGGTGAAACTCAAAATTTTTCCCTACCGGTTCTGTGGACATAGCTTGGTGGGCGTGGCAGGGGAAGCAAAATCTCCATTCCCACCCCACTCTGGGGCCAGCCGGAAGTGGTATTTGCTGGTTCTCCAAACTACTCAAAATTTCCACTACTGGTTCTCCAGAACCTGTTAGAACCTGCTGGATTTCACCCCTGCTAAAATGAGATCACCTGCATGCTTCTAATCAGGAATAGATATATGTTTTGAAATAACTATTGTTCTGCCAAGTTTTAGCAAAAAGCTTTTTGAATGATTGGTTCTTTAAGGTTTTAATAAGTTCCTGGAAGAAATAACTTAGTGTGCAACAGAAGACAGTTCTCATGTCTATTTCCTCTACTAAAAGAGAAGATAGCAACACAAACATGTGTCTGTAAAACATATGAAATCCTGAAAGAGAAGACACCTACTGAAACTTCAGAGTGAAGGCTCTGTGTTATGCCTCCCTTTTTTTTCTCCTCTGCACTTGCTAAAGCTAGAATGTGGGGTACAGCCTGGGAAAACAGCAGATAGAGAAATGGGAAATGCCCCCTTCTATCAGCATTATGGCTCCAATTCAAGCTATATCATCCGCTTTCATTGTTTTTGTTCAAACAAACAGAAACCAAACAATATCAGATGTTAATCACAATTCCATCACAGCGCTAGCTTCTCCATGAAAGCAGCCATACTTTCTAATAACTTCATCCTTATCTCAAATGTTAGTTGAAACTCTTAAATTCTCCTCTCTTTTAAAGCCAGGAGCAAAGACGGTTGTTTTACTCTCATATGCCATAAAAAAAAAAAAATCCCACTTGTCTAAACTTGCATCATATGCGGTTTTGCTGAATGGGCCAGAGTTTGATCCAGGACTCAGCTGACAGTTTTGGCCGCTGTCCATCCACACCACAGTCCGAAGAACCACCTGGAACTTGCCTTCTGTCCCAAAACACAGAGCTCTGTTGCTTGCAAGCCTGCCAAAGGAACCGGCCTGGAAACAGGAGGACCATTATGGACCAAATGATTCCTTTAAGCAGGCAAACCCTCAAAATAAGGCATGTGTAAAACAATATGTATTTCAGTACGTTCAAGCGATCTGTTATTTGAATTAAATCCTAGCTAGCTGATACATTCTAGATGCCCTGCTAATCTATTTAAGTGAACGTACAAAGAAGAGCTTTAGGTAGAATTCTAGAATAAGGCAAAAGGATTTCAGAACTCCAGGATACACTCGGTTGTTTTCCTCTGGAACTCCCAAAGCCCATAATTGCCTGGCGCATAACACAGACACTTAAAAATTATTCTAAGCCAAAGATTCCTTCTGAGTAACAAAATTGAGCAGAGCTTAGCATACTCCTGATTGCCCTGCATTTTCTATAATTCAGCAGTATAATTTAGTATAGAAAGAATAGGGATTTTTTAAAAAACAAAAAAATTGCTGCGATTCTTAAACAATAGGGAGTCTGAAGCCATTGCCAATTTTCTGGAAATGACTATTCAATTTACTAGAATGTCCTGATCCGCTTTCTGCCCACACTTAGGGGGGAAAAAATGCTGTGCTCAATCCTTGCAGGTGTGTATTACAATCATTTTGTTGGCCTTGCTCGTGCCACAGGACTGTTGAGTTTGTCTATTGCACAAAGACGTTAAGTCTTTTCCTACCTGCCTAAGGCACAAACATTCCCTGGCAACATATTGGTTTCTGCCAGGACCAGGGGTGGTTTCTACTTATCTTTACTATTGGTTCACAATGGGAGCGCATGCACAGAAGCTTCCTGATGATGTCCGGGTGGGTGGGTGGAGCTTCCCACTGATTTTACTACCAGTTCTTATGAACCGGTCCGAACCGTGGGCAACCCACCACTGGCCAGGACCCTCATCCTCAACTAGGGATGTCATCCCTAGTTCATGAGTGAGAGAGGCTCAATCATTCTTAGCTGTACTGCTATTAAGGTAGCATTCATTTTCCTCCTTATGACCACACCACCAGGGGAACCAGCAAGTGGGTTTATACTTGGTCAGGCATTATTTTGAAGGGAAGCCAGGTGAGTGGCAGTAACTGGGAACAGAGACAAGATAGAGCTCAGTAACAGAGGTAGCACATTTCGTTCCAGAATAGTTTTCTGCTGACTCACAAATGGATGGGGAGCAATTCAAGTAGCTGTGGGGAAAGGCCCACAATATGATTTGTTTGTTTGGGGCTGAGCTGGCAGTATGAAGCCACCCATTATGACTCTGCATTATGTATGAACGGGGCTAATGCGGCTGATTGAAAAAACAATTACTGTGGCTTCTAATACTGTGTTCCCATCACAGGACCCTTTTCATCAATGATCCTTTAACAAACCAGCATAATTAAAAGAACAGAAACAGAACACGCTTTAGGAAATCACAGAATAAAAAAATAAGATTTGCCTTTCCCATTTCCATGTGATTCACAGGATAAATTGTACATACAGATATAGACTTTCCAAAGATACACAGAAGAGGTTGATATGTATGTTGGGACAATATATATGCTTGTGTCTTCTTCTTCTTGTGCCATATCTGTCATCGGACATTGGCGATCCTGTTGGCAATCCTATTTTTATCAACAGCTGCACGAAAAAGTGGCATTGTGTATGCAGCTATTTTTTCATGTAAGTGTACCTTAACATAAAAATGTGTCCACAAGGAGCTCTAAGGCATGGTAAAAATGGGAGCCAGTCATTGAAATTTACACTTCAGACAGCAAGTGTGGGATACTATTTTAAATGCTGAATGTAAATTTATATATATATATATATATATATATATATATATATATATATATATATGTAATTTTCACTTATGAACTCTTTCACTTATGAAAACTCAGTACTTACAGGGAAATTTTAACCAGTAGACAGTCCAGTGTCTCCTTCAAATTATGAATGTCATTCATTTTCACTGAGTTCTATACACAGACCAGGACCTGGAAGAGAGAGCTGGAAACATAATTAAGACTCTGGTTCTTACAGTGGAGAGTGCATTAATATGATCCTCCAACGCAAGTAGACTTCCTTTTCACAAGTCCCAGCTATGGGCAAATGGGATCAAATATTTCCTGAATTATCAGGCACTAATCAGGAATGAGCAGCTGTGTTGGTCATGCACTCTTAAATGAAGGGATAACATAAATGCTGACACACTATGTGCCTACAATGCAGAAATGGATAGTAATAATTATCAACCTTCTCATACTTTCCAGCTGTTCTTTGCTACAATCAACACCATTCACACAATATGTTTTGAGACATAAATGTATGGACTAGAAAGGGATGCCTTCTTGCTCCACCCTATAAATATGTTTATCCAAAACTGTGAATGTGGCATGTAGGTATAAGAGCTCATCATCCCACTCAGGACCCTCCATTCTACTTGAAGTGAACATAGCCATAAATGGCTATATGGGGTAATGAAAACATGTCATCTCCCAGAGGAACAGGAGCAGATGGAGGTGATGTTTGCACTAGAACACCTGGAGTAACTGCAAACATTGTGGAAGCTGGCAAAATGCCTTGCAAAGAAGGAAGGGATTTATTTCACAAGATAGATAGTAAAGTCCATGGGATTCACAGCTTGAGATGGGACGACAGGTTAGGGCAGAGCTGGCAAGAAGCCTAGATGCCCTTCATCAAGAATTGCCTTTGGCAATACTATCCTTTTTTTAAGAGGAATATAACACACGATGCATTTCTTCATCAGGCTTCAGTACAATTTAAATGCTCATTCAACTTAAGCAAAGTCTCAAAGGGCTTGATGTCATGATATCTGGGAAAGACCTTAATAGATGGAGCAATAAGATGCTGCATAGAGAACCATCAGATAAGAGAGGACACAGCCTGAAGTTGGAGTGTGGACAAAGAAAGAGGCTCAGAAGGGACCCTCCCTAGCTTCTTGGATTGTAATGGAAACAGTGGGAAATTTATACTTACAGACTTGCAAGATTCTGGTAATGTCGCTTTGCCATAAAGTAGAATTAGTTCATCTGGTCATGTTTTCTGTTTGGCCTAACAGGGAAGGCTGATACTTGTTCATTCATCACACATTTCGGAATCAAAGGTTCTTTTCTCAAATGCATCCATAAATATGACAATTGGTGTTCTGAATTCTTTCATGCCGTTACAGAATGTTTACTTGATATCCATCACATATCAGATGATAATGCATACCAGGTCTTCTGAATTAAAGACCTAACAATTGCACAGTAATGACATTTCTAGTTCTTATTTATTTATTTATTTATTTATTTTTCAAACTTCTATACCACCCTTCTCCTTTCGGACTCAGGACGGTGAACAGCCAAGATAAAAAACATTTATACACAAAAGTTAAAAATAAATTTAAAATAATTAAATAAATTTGGCCCATATTTTAAAACTTTTCAATTAAAATCCATATCAAATTTTAAAACCAGCCGTAAAATCAGGATAGCCCGGCTAACTGAAAAAAATAGGTTTTTAGGGCCCGACGAAAACTCCAGAGGTCGGAGATCACTCGTATCTCTGGGGGTAGATTGTTCCAGAGGGTAGGTGCCACCACAGAGAAGGCTCTCCCCCTGGAGGTCACCAGCCGACATTGTCCCATCTTATATTCTTATATCCCATCTGGGTTACCAGATTCTCACATTTCATATTTTATTTCATGCACTTGGAAAACTATTGGTATTTCTCATTGGGCATAATATATTCAAGACTGAAGTGAGTACCATACAGACTAATACATATTTCTTTGTTGTTTTCCTATCCAACTTACATGCAGACATTCATATTTTCCAATTTATTTTTCACATATAAATATTCAGTATTTGCATCACCTGCAAAACCGTATAATTTATAACTACATATACAGCATTTTCTCTTTTGCACTTAATCTTAGCACAAATTTTTTTCCCCTGCCATTTCCTACACTGTGGCTTTCATCTAATTTCCAGTCCATGAGTGAGATTCTGGTGGGGATTATGGTAGACTTGATATCCCAAATGAGCCAGACAACATTACAGCCAAGAATGCCAACCAGAGGCTGGGTGCTGGCTGGCAAAGTCTCAATGGTTGAAGGAGAGATTATAACTCACTTGTACTCTGGATAGCTGGTCCTTGTGAGTAAGCTACAGGAATAAAAGTTTTTGCAAGTGTCCTGTAGGTTGAGTGGCTTAAGAGGCACATGATTCCATTTAAACTTACAGCCATAACGTAGCCTATATGGATAATAATTTCAGTCATCCTCATTTCTAAATCACACTTGGAATTAATTAATCTATAGATAAAGAGAGGTTTTCTTTATAGTAAAAACAAAATATCTCTTGATGTAATTCTTTTTCTGGGTTATAAAAATAAAAAGAGACTTTAAGGGTTTTTACATCCTTAAACTTTTGGTAAAAAGTTTAACAAAGAGATTATTTTTAAAAAAATTAAAATGGATATAGACAACAGTTATTTTTATTTTTATTATTTTACTTTTGATGAAAGCATTTTTGCATAAACTTAAATTAAACCGGACAAACAAATCAGACCTTCATGGGAATACTTCCTTTTTACTACTATATAGTGCAGGTAATTGGCAGATTTTATAAAACAAAAGATAACGCTAAACTGAGATACTTTGTTGCTATGGAGGCAAAAATTGATATAGAATGTGTAATTTTGCCACAATAAGAATGTGCCAAGGCATTTTTTTTTCTTTTGTCCATTTTGTTAGGAAAAAGTTTTGCAGCAACATTTTGATAGAAGTTAAATAAATAAAATTAATAATACAGATATAATTGTTTTAAAAGAAATTCCTATCAAAATTCTATGCAAGAGAAAAGAATATTTTTCTGATATATTTGCAAGTAACAGTTCCTTTTGAATATGTTATTTGGTGGCCAGTTACAGAGAGCAAGACATTTATTATACAGAAGCTTTCATGGCTTGATGTTAAGCTCTTTGGCCCAGGCATTTACTAATGAAGTAGACTGTGACTCATCAATGCTTTATGAAACCATTTCAATGACATTATAAGCAAAGGCAGCCAATCCTAACCATGGATATGCCAGAACAATTTAAATGTGCATTGTAATGGCCCAACACATCGACCCTTTCATACTTGCATCATGATGTGGCAGACAAGTATGTAAGAGGTGAATTTATGCAAATTTGTCACTTCCACACATACACTCTTTATTGGCCTGCAAGTGCCTTTGACCATAAGCCTGTGAGTTTTGCTGCAACAGATTTAGAAAGCTACTTTTTTTGAAAGATTAAATAATTTTAGTATATTATTTTGCGATACAATTTCATATGTAATGTTTTACCTTATTTGTAAGTACAATAGTAGATTTACCCAAAATCCAGAAACAAGACTTTTGATCTTCTCAAACCTTTGCTTCCAGCATGATTGGCTAGCTTACTTGTTAATTATTCTAATTTTTTTTCCTGAAATATTCCTTTTCTTTTTTTTCTTGTTCATTTCAGCATAATAAGCAGAAAGAGAAGCAGCACCCTTATGACTAACTAAACAATTTACCATCCTATTTCTCCTTTTTTATCAAAATGTCTTTAATACAGGCAAAACCGTTTATTATTAAGTTTTATCAATATTTACTTAATGATAAGAAATGTATAGGATGAAAAATTTAAATAGAAAAGCCCTTTGAGCTAAAAGTTGCCTTTGAGTTGAAGACAAAAGATCTAAGTTTCATAATTCTTTTTAAATAACCTATGAGATCACTGGTGAGCAAAATCTAGATGTCTGTAAGGCTTACAAACTCAAAAGATTTTGCTACATTTAGGAATAGATGAGTTTGTTTATTAATATATTAAACCAAGTTACAAAGGCTTTGGGGAAGAAATCTGCCAGACAGTCTTGGCTGAAGAATTAGATCAGGATTAGAGAGACTCCAAGTCACGTCACTCATGAAAGCCCACTAAGAATATTTTGAGTCATTCACTCTCAGCCCAAGCTATCTCAGGGAATTGTTGGCAGTAAAAATGGTAGGAGAGATCCAGATGTATATTACCCAGAGTTCCTGGAAAAAAAGGACGGAGATCACATAATTCTAACAAATAAATAAAATAAAACTTCAACTGTAACAGGATAGTGGGTTTGAAGAACGCTCAGTAAGAATGCAAGGGTCAACAAGAAGAAAGAGCTCAACAAAATTTTAAAACCTAAGCCTGAGGAAAGAAAGCTGGATGGAGAAGTATGCACTTCTGCGCCCACAAAAATGTTAGGATAAGAGTATATGCCAAGTTAAATTGCTGTGAAGTCTTACTTCCTTCGTAAAGCTACTTGCCAGCTCGAAATAAGAAAGGCTGCAGATGTGCTATAGAATGTGGGTCCCAATTTCTACTTTCCAAGGTCAAGACAGTGAAAAACAAACTAGTTCTTGCCTTGCTCAGCAGTGCGGGTTGATCCCTTTCCATCGTCCCGCCCTTCCGTTCCTCACACAGCCTGTTACTCGACCACAAAGAGCTGCTGCCCAGCACATTAGATCACAATGATTCACTGGCTGACCTCTACCTTCTGGAGTGTTCAGTTTCTAATTTTATGGCCTGTATCAACCAGATTATTGAATCCAGATGTCTGTGAAATGCAGCCATCTAGCACAGAAATCCAACCCACATGGAGTAGAGCTTTAAGAGCCAGACTAGAGTTTACAGATGCTCACTTTTCATAAACTAAATCCTCGGACAGGAGGCAGAATCATGCATCTCCTTCCTTGCGATCATAGTTACTGATAACACACCACAGAAATACACAGATCTGGATCAGTAAAGGATACAGATAAATATTCTGGTGCTCAGTATTGCTTATTTCTTTGGATCCACAATTAATCTTTGAGCTGTACAGCATATAGCAGTGATAGTTAATCTTTTCCGGACCGAATGCCCAAAGCGCATGCTCGCCCAAACCCCCAAAATGCAATGGGCATACGGCCCCCTGCATGCAACCCGCCCCCAGTGCA